CCCCAAAACCCCAAAACCCCAAAACCCCAAAACCCCGCTGAATGAATTATAGATGACTTGAATGATTAAATTAAAGATTTAATGAAAGATATAAATTTTAGATTATTTAACGTTCTCCTCATCTTCTCTTCTTTTGACCTCCACTCTATCCTATAATAATTATTAGTTAATTCAAAGCAATTACTTGCAGATTATCTTGTAGCACTTGAGTTGTTAGTGTCATTCGTTTGATAATCCTAAGTTGTTGATGGCTGTGTTATAGCGACTTAGCTTGCTTGTCCACCACCAGAAATAATTTAGCCAGTTTTCTTAATTGGCTTCTTAATGCCTCCTCCTATTTTCTTTTGACCCTTTTTACTAGATGAAGGGTTCTCATCTCTCATTGAACTGTCATGTGACTCGTCCAATTAAGAACCTCCTTTTGAGGGTGATTTCTTATCTTCTTCTTATACAATCTGCTATGCTCCTTATGGAATTCTTCTTTCCTTTGGAGGCTGAATAATCTAAGCTTAAGGTGGAATTTGTTGACCTGGAATCTAATTAATGTTCTACTACATTTATGGCATTGCCTATTACCCCAAAGGAATCTGAGTTTTAATTGGGATCTATTGCTAATGTGGAATCGGCATCTAACCACCTTACATCTAGAGCCTATTGATTGGCTGAATACTAGTGTTGATTGTATTTTGTATTCCCATTGGTGGATTTGTTGTTCCTTAGTTGTAAACTGGGATATTTTACTGCGGCTAACCTTGAATTTAGCCAACAGGAGGAACTTACCCTCTAGGGATATTCTATTAGTTCTAAGCATTTTATTGAATCATTTAGTTTTGCAATTGATTCTACTAATGCTACTACTGCTGTTATTACTGTTGCTGTAATAATTGTTACTGCCTAGCGAGAGCCTCTTATTGTTTTAATGCTTGTAGTTAAAGCTAAGGTAGCTAGAGGAAAGCCTTTTTCTCATTGGTCACTTCCTATATGATATTGAGATCTTCTTGTTTCTTCTTGATATAATTTTGGAGTGCAAACAACTTCAAGATTTCGTTCATCAGTTCCTGATATTTATCTACTACTCTCTAAGTTGGTTTAAGTTCAGTGGGGTCAATCTTTAACTCTTTCATTACGATTTCAAATTTCTTTTGGAGATGCTCTTTCTTAGTTGGAAGTTGAGCTTGCAATACTTAGGATCTAAGATAGACACCAGAGCCTCTATCTCTTCTACCTCCCTTGGCACTCTACATTTCATCAGTATAGATTGATTCACCCGGAGCTCCATTGGCAACTCCATTTTCAACAACAACAGTTGTTGGATTAATCGGGGGAAGATTGAGACTAGCATCATTATAGATGAGCTTTCTAAGATTCTTCTCCTCTTTTTCCTCCTTTTTAATTTTTTGCTCTAGTTTCTTTAATTCAGCAACCATCAACTTCTCTTTTTCATGTTGCTCTTTGGTTCTCAAGAATAACTTCTCGAGATTGCATTTTCTCTTAACTTCTTGCTCATAATTGAATGGCTTTTTGACCAATGGATTTTCGTTATCTCCTCGATGCTCGAGGATGGCTTTAGCCACTGAATAATAGCGCTCTTTTATCTCATCCACTGTTCTCTCATGGAATTTAACCTAAAGTGATTCGTTTGAGTTGCTGACTTCCAAACCTGCTTGTATTTGGTTCTTATTCTACTTCTTCTCTTGTTTCTCCTTCTGTTTAAAGTTTCTTTTCTTACTTTAACCCAGGAAATGTGCTCTCAACTCTTATTCCTCATTGTCATCTATGTCCCCTTCAAATCTGTCAGCTATAATGATGAATCTCTAACTGTACTTATCACACAGCCTAAAAAGATGATCGGTTTCAAGTTTGCTCCAGTCAGTATTACCGACTGCAGTATTGTTCAAACCTGCATCTTCAATAGCTGCCTTGTATTCATCGTCTGTATATGAGACAACCTCAACCTTGCGATTGAACCTTGCAAATGGATAAACTTCATCTTTCTCTTCTTCCTTCATCCAATGACCCAAAGTCAAACCATCATATCTGGCTGGATTCTAAAATCTATGCCATACCCATGGATCTACTTTTCTCTTTAAGTTCTTCTCTTTAATCACCAAAGCCTTAGTAGTCTCTGCAATAGCTGGAACTAATTGTGGGACATCTCCAATCAGAGCGAAAACCTCACGATTAACCTTTTCTAATTTAATTCTTAAGATTAATAAAGGAATATGATAAGAAATTAATTACCAGGTCTTTTCTTTTTATCTTTTTGCTTCTTGTCTAGTTTTCTGCCAGATCCATCCTATCCACCTGAGATATCTAGGATTTGCTTTACGTCTGAGGGTTAAGCCATATTTAAAAATATTAATAATTTATTATTAATAATGCTAATCTTCGACTTAATATAGTCTCAATCCTGGGATGAAAACAAACTAATATTATTAAATTATGAAATTAAGAAAGACTTTATTGAATTTTTAATTTGGTGATTGGACTCTGATCAAATTCTAAATATTCAAACTCTGGCTGTACCTCTCTAGAATACAGTGGCTATTTTCTAAGAGGTGTTTGTCTTGATAGCTTCTCTGGCTTCTGCTACAATTCTTTTCTGAGCATTTCCCAGTCTCAGATTGCTAGCATTTTTAATCATAGCATTTAGCTCTTTCAATGTCGATATCAGATTCTAGTGATTATTACTTCTCTTTAAATACTCTCCAATTAGTGCTCCATTTTCTTATTGAACTTAAGCATAATTCTTCTTCATTGATTCTCTATATTATCACATTTTTAAAGGTATAAGAGTCTTACATATCATTGATCATAAGAGAAGCTTCAGCTTTGACAATTTGAACTTTCAAATTGTTGATATTTTCAGATATATTAGCGCTAAAGTGGGTCTTTAATTGATTGCTCTCCTCTATCAAAGCTAGCAAATCGCCTAACTTCTTTATCTCAGAGGGGAATGAGCAGGTGCTTTCAAGCTCTCCAATTTTCAAGAAGTTGCTACAGAAGTCCTAAATTAGATCACCGCAAGTCTCCAAAGAGTCGCATTGAAATGTTACCTGGAGACCTGCTCCTCCCATCATCGCTGAAATAATTAGGGGCAAAAATGACCTTGCATCAATATATTTCAAAATAATCTACTATTAGTTGTATTGAATGAGACTTTTCTTTAAGTCACCATGTTCACTCATAATAAATGATTGCTGTGTCCAGTCCACAATATTTTGGATAACTCCTCTTTCACAAACAAACATTACCTGTGATTCAGGCTTTTGAAAGAGAAGCTTCTAATCTTAGCCCAAATACTTAAACATTGAAAATTTTCTAAAAGTGTATTTAGGCTCATGATGAATCAGGAATTATGATGAATTTAAGCCAGTGCCCATTAAGACTTTAATATCCACCTGAAGTTCTTGGTTCTTTTCTGACCTTAGAGGAATTTATACAGTATTTGTAGACTATTAAGGGTAAACAGCAAATGATTCTCCTTCAAACAATGCCTCATTGCACAAAATGACGCTTTTGATTATCCACCCTGGCTTGTTTATGGTTATAGTCATGATGCATGTAGTTGAATTAGGATCAGCAAGTTAAGAAAATCTTATATCATTTCTACCAGGAGGAAGATTATGACTTGATACTTGCTATTGTTGGCCTTTTGGTTGAGCTTTCTTCTAGTCCTTTTTTTCTTTAATAGATTCAAGTTTACTCATTAACTCTAACTTTTATCTATTAAGATCAACGAAGGCATCATCTATTGCCTTTGTTTCAACAGCTAATTCATCTCCATTATTTTCAATGGCTTAGAATTGCTTTACATTTCTAGTCAATGCCAAACCCTTTACGTTGCCCTCAACATCTATTGCTATTACTTGAGGAAGACCCTCCATTCTAAAATCATAGTAGAATATGTTAGAAACTGGATGGCCGCCACTTTCTACCTATGTTTTATGCAATAGATCTCCTGTTCTGTGTTTTCTTGCCTCAATTACACCACTAGTGTAGCCAATTAGCAAAAGATACTAGCCATCTATATCAAAATCAACTCCAACCAAAGCTGTGACTTTGTCCTTTCCCTTTTATCTCCATAATCTTTTCTTCCCATGATAAACTCCGAAAGTACCATTCATCAAGGAATATCCAAATACACATTTGTGGATCTTTTTGATAAACTAAATCTTTGACTACTCATTGATGTCCTAAAGCATTTCTTCTTGCTTAAAGATTCTAATGCTGAAATCCTCACTTCCTGCCAGTAATTCATCATCGCCATCTTCGTCCCAATCTAAAAATTCTAGAGCAGTTGCATTATCTCCAGTCACAGTCCAAAATCTTTCTTCTGCCTGCAGGTCAAAACCTGTAATAGAGCAATTTCCACCAGCTACAATAAGAGGTGCTCCAATTTGAGGAAATGTTCCAAAACTCAAACAATTCACTCCATCTGATACTTCTTTGTCAAATATATCACAATTGTTTTCAACATCTGGCAAAGTCAAATTAATGCTATAATTACCGTAGGCTAGAAGATTAGTCCTTGACCCCACAAACAGAATTTCATTATCTTTAGCTATATTCAAAGCACCTGCAGACATTGCTACTATTTCTTTGTTTGTATTCAAGAACCTCATCCTAGAAAATTCATCTCTAAATCATATTTTACTCTTTATTTTTTGCTGGAGCAATCTAAACTTAATTCGCGGCTGCAATAGATTGATTGGCATAGGGGCTGTGTATTAACACCTTGCCTCCTGTAGTTGCGAATGCTATTGATGGGTGCTTGCCATCGACTATAGGTATTTCAATTTCTTATCTTACATTTCCCAATCACTGAGAGACCTTGATGAACTGGATTTCCAAGTTGAAAGTCAAATGCTTCTACCAACATTTTTATTTTTTTGCAATTTATCTGATTTATAAATTAAATTCAAACATTTATTCGAATATGAATTGAAATTATTTGGTCTGGGGTTTTGGGGTTTTGGGGAGATCGGAAGAG